ATTATCTTATTGAAAATTCCTGTGAGGAAAGCAAGCATTTCAGTGGTTTGCCCCTAGTTCTGCTCCTACTGAACTTTATTGTTAAACTGTTTCCATGAAACAGAGCCTGTGATGTTCAGACACATGAAGTTAGGAAACAGATGAGCTATGTCTGTCTGACTCCAATTCTCCTAAGACTCAGTTGATTCAGATTTTTAAAAAAGATTTATTTGGGGTTCTTTTCTACTGTATAGAAAATCAGATTTATTTATCACTAAGATTTCTAATAGAACTAACATTTGGTAAAAACATATCTATCAATATTAACTGACCCTTGAAAGTTCTGAAATGAGTTTGGGAGCTATATGCCTGTGACAACTGAATACTTTAAGGAATTTTAATGCAAGCTGAAGCCATATATATATATATATATATATATATATATATATATATATATATATCTACACATACACACATGCATATATATATATATATATATATATATATATATATATATATATATATCCTAGGTAGGCATCAGTGGCTCACACCTGTCATTCTAGCTACTTGGAAAGTTGAGAGCAGAAGAATTTCAAGGTCATCCTCAGCAGAAAAGTTCACGAGATTGAATCTGGAAAAAAAAACAGAAAAAAGTGGAGGTGTGGTAGATAAGACTGGAAATGTGGCTCAAGTGGCAGAGTACCAGCCCAGGAACTGGGAAGTCCTGAGTTCAAACCTTAATACCACAAAGAAAAAGAAAAAGATCTGTTTTTATGAATGTCACAACTGGCAAGGCATATGGGGGGGGAGATAGAGTAAACTGTCATTGTAGGGATGTCTCATATGGCCAGCAACATTTGCATTTTCATTTCTATCAAAAGTCCACTTTAGCAAGGAAATGTAGTTTTAGTCACTTAAAACAGTTCTTCCCTGGAAAATAATTTTAAAAGTAATAAGCAAGAAAGAATAGAAAATGCTTGCTGGAAAAAAACAACCCATCTAGGGTTAATTCAATACAAAAACAGATTCAGAGTTCTGACATTCTTATTCCAGAAGGAAAACTTGGAAATTTTCTAAATTTCAGGGTATTTAAGATTTGCAAGGAGGGGTAAAGGAAGCTAAATTTCAGTCCCACTGTGGATGGGATCAAGAACAGATTTTCTCAACTCTCAAGAGTCATTTTACACGTTCAAATCACCTCATAGCGACAGACTCTCTCTTTCGCATAAGGTAGGTACTGGCTGGTTGCTATGGTAGGATACAATAAGGTCATGATTGCTTTAAAATTATTCATAATAAAAACACATTTTGAGACTTGATTCTAAATGTTAAATTTGAGCAATTTAATTGCCCGTTGAATAGAAATGAAATCCCACCAGTAGGCAGTTATTTCTTCCAACCACTGTGTGTGAAATTGAAATCTTCAGATACCATTTCAAATATGCGCCTTCTTGAAAGAAGTCCTCCCCAAAGAATTGTGAAAGAGAAGAAACTGACCCAAAGTCATACACAGTCATGTCTTTTCCTTCACACACTTGGGTCAAAGCAGAAGCATGTAATTAAAAGCAAATTTTATGCTCCAATCTTGGCCATTCTGTGGTTACCTCATGGAACCCAAAGATATATTTAATAACTAGTTTCCCCCCTGGAACACTAGAGGCAGGAAAGGGCACCTTACCAGATTTCACAAATGCAAACAATCAAGTGTAGCATCTAGTTATCAAGATACAGGCACCAGAAGAGAAAAGGCATATATATTATTTAGCAGTATTGAGGCTTGAACTCAGGGCCTTGCACTCTTAACTTGGCTTGAAGGCCAACATTCTACCACATGAACCACACTCTACTTTTGGATTTTTTGCTGGTTAATTTGAAATTAAATCCTCATGGACTTTTCTGCCTGGCACTGACTTTGAACCACCATTCTCAGACCTCAGCCTCCTATGTACCATGAGACGTATTAGTACCCAGTTTCCGTTTACTTTTTTAAAAAGAGGGAGCAGTTCTTTGATTAGAATGGAAACTTTTTCCTTTGAATCCATTTCATCTTTAAATTTAATTTCAAACTTGCTTTACGTTATCCCAGTGTCTTCAGCTATAGTCTAGCCATTGCCACTTATGAGCACTAAATACATGCCAAGAGCTTCCCATGCGATCAATTATATATAATCGTCGCCTGAATTCTGTCGCAGGTCTGTGTGCTACATTTTTGCATGCACTAATTCATTTGACTCTTACAACAACCTATGCAATAAGCTCTATCATTGCCATGTTACAATGGAAGATACTGGGAGGTGAAATTCCTGCTATTAGTCCAGGCCAACAGGTGGGAAAGGTCTTCCTGGCACTGAGACTCCTGAGCCTCTGCCCAATGCTGTCTTCTCAGATTAAGTAATTTTTCTAGAACATACTAGCGGATAAGAGCCTAAATCAAACTCATACAGTCTAGTTCCAGAGTCCCTGAATTTAACCATCACACTGATTGATTATAAAAGCAAGCAAGTTGTTTATCATTGCTTATTTTCATTTCTAATAGAAATGAAAGTAGAATGGTAGGTTGTATGCTTATCCCATATTTTAGGTTTCTCTAAAAATACTAGGGATTTTTCTATTTTTTATTAACAATAAGAGTTGGATTCTGAAACTGTCTTCTTACATATAGACGGTCTGATTTGTATACAAAGCCCCCTTAACTGCTGCTGTCTTTGACACACAGAATTACATTCAAGGATATGTGTACACAGATTCTAATTATACTCATTAAGGAAACTGACAATAATAAGTTCCACTTGCACATGGCGAAGTCCATGAGGATTTGGCTCTGAATAAGGACAATGAAGCCTCTAGATTTTCTTTTATTTATTTATTTTTTTTTTTATTTTTTTGGGTCCGGTCATGGGGCCTGAACTCTGGGCCTGGGCGCTGTCCCTCAGCTCTTCAGCTCAAGGCTAGCACTCTACCACTTGAGCCACAGCGCCACTTCCAGCTTTTTTCTTTTTGCTTATGTGGTGCTGAGGAATCGAACCCAGGACCTCATGCATGCAAGGCAAGCGCTCTACCACTGAGCCACCTTCCCAGCCCCTAGATTTTCATTTCTGACTTTCAACCACGACCTTCATGGTGAGCTCATCCAGGCACCTCAGTGGCATCTTTAAAATGGGAGTGAAATGCCTATGCCTGGGGTGCAGACTTGCTCTTATAATACTGTGGATTCTGGGGCATGGGTGGCTCACACCTGGATTCCTAGATACTTATGAGGCTGGAAGTGTGGGAACAGAGGTTCAAAGCCAGCCAGAGCAAAAGAAATCTTAACTCCAGTTAACCATCAAAAATCTGGAAGTGGAAGTTATGGATCAAATGTTTGGTAGAGCACACAACCCTTGAGGGGAAAAGCCAGGCTAGAGTCCAGGGCCCCTGAGATCAAGCCCCAATTATACATATTCATATATATATATATATATATATATATATATATATGCATGCATGCATGCACGCATACATACATGTGTTCTAAAGATTCTGAAATTACTTGAGAGTTTCCTTTTTACAAACCTTATGGTGACATATGAGCTAACAGACCTTGACTCCTAATTTCTGAACTCATTTTCAAGGAACTCTGAGGCCCAGGGAAACCCAAGTTCCTCTCCCTGGAAGGGCAGACTCCCTCTCTTCCCTTTGCATTCCTTTTTCTGAGTATAACTCGAAGGGAAACCCCTAAATCAGGCCTATCCTTCCCCCCCCCTTCTCTCTCCCCCTCTCTCTCCCCCTCTCTCCCTGATCTAGGGCAAAATAATCTTCCAAGTAACAGTTCTTCATCATCAGAAAAGACTTTCTCTGGTCGGGGCATTACTGGCACTTTTCAGAAGGCCAGACTTAGCAGCAGGAGTCCGCTTTTTCAAAGATGCTGAGAGAGGGAATTTTGTCGCCAGCAGATGGAGAGGAGACCCAGACCAGCGTAGTCCCTCCCCGACACCCTCCCCGCCGCTGGCCCTCGGGGATTAGCTGCCCCCAGCACTGGCAGGCATACCCCACCCCAGCGGGTTCTGCGCGCACGGCTCCATTGCATCTCCAGAGCTCGGACACAGCCGTGGGGTTTGCCGCGGAGAGAGACGAGCTACCCCAGGCACCCTGCGCTCCGAGGCGGTGAACCTGGGGTCTGAATCCGGGACACGCGCGCCCGAGTGGCTCTGGCAGAAGCCTGCTCTTCTGCTGGTGATGATTTCACGTTCTTTTTTAATTTAATTAATTTATTCATGTGCTGTCCTGGAGCTTAAACTCAAGGTTTGGGCGCTGTGCCTGAGCTTTTTTTTTCTTTCTTCCCTCTAGGCTGGCATTCTACCACTTCTGTCTTTTTGGTGATTAATTGGAGATAAGAGTCTCCTGGACTCTCCCTGCCTAGGCTGGCTTCGAACCACAATCCTCAGATTTTTAGCCTCCCGAGTTGGATCCCAGGCGTGAGCCATCGGGGGGCCTGGCTTATCTTCTTTCTTGCTTGAGCGGGCGGGCTGGTTACTTTCAGCCTGAGTTCAGCCAAAAGGGGAAACGCAGACGAGAGGGGAGCTCTCAAGAAGGATCTAGTGGCAGCCCGGCCTCCCCGATCTCCAAGGAGAGGTAAGGTGTTCACCGAGCGACTCTCGGTCTCCAACGCGGGCCCCTTTAAGAAGCCAAGTCGGTCCCGCGGCGACGGCGGCTGTTTGTATGGCTAATCCCCAGGAGCCCCGTTTAAAAAAAAAAAAAAAGGGAAGAAAAAAAGGGGAGGGGGCCTGGGCAGCTGTCTCTTTAAATGTGATTTCCTTCTATTGTATTTGAATCGTGATCAGGAAAAAGGAAATGAAACCAGAGACCGAGGGAAGCTGAGCGAAAATAGCCCTTCCCGAGAGAGGAGGAAGCCGGGGAGCCCGGGCCGAGACGCACGGTCCCCTCCCCGCCCCCAGGCCGCCGCCCCCTCGCGCCGCGACCCCGCCGGAGGTGCGAAGGGCTCGGTGCGGGCGCGTACCCTCCCCGCGGGCGGGCGGGCGGCGCGGAGCCGGCGGCGGCGCGCGATCGGGACCGGGTGGCGGTGGCGGCGACGGCGGCGGCGGGACCGGGATGGAAGGTTAAGTCCTGAGCAGCAGCAGCAGCTTCGCTGCAGCCGCCCGGGGCCAAGCTGTGTGCGCCCCGGCACCCCCACCCCCACCCCGGCTCCCCGGCTCCCCGGCCCGGCCTCGGCGCGCCCGCAGCCCGGTGACTCGCTCTCTCTCCCCTCTCTCTCTCTTTGGCGTTTGAAGGGAGCGCGCTGACTGTCCTTGAGCGCGGAGGGGCGAGCTCGCCACCGGAGCGCCCGAGCAAGAGGAGGCGCCGGAGCGGCGGCGCCCGTGCACCCGAGGGGGTCCGAGTCCCGCCAGCCGGTCAGCCCCGCGCCACAAAGGGAGCGCCCCCGCCGCCCGGCACCCCGCCGCCCTCCCCAATGTCCTCGGCCATCGAGAGGAAGAGCCTGGATCCGTCCGAGTAAGTGCGGCCAGCCCCCGCCATCCACCGGCTCCCCCAGCCCGGCGCCCCGAGCGGCGGTGCGACGCGGCGGGGGCCCCCTCCCCACACCCCTCACCCCCGCCAGGGGCTCCGGGCGCGCGCCCGCCCCGTGCCCTCGGCCGCCTCTGTCTCCCGCAGGGTGGTCCCTTCCCCGCGGGTGACTCCTGGGCACTGACCGAGAGGGATCGGGTGGCTGGCGACACCAGCAGGTCGGCCCAGCGCCTCTTGCGGGTCCCCCTGGGCTACCCACGACGCTCCCCGGACCCACTGCCCGGCAGAAAGTTTGCACCGGGATGCTCCGGAGCTCCGGGAGCGCAGGTGCAGCCTGGGGTATGTGTGTGTAGGGGGGTGGGGGTGGGGGACCGGGGACAGGGCTCACTTCTGTTCCTTCTTCCCTCTCGCTTCTTCTGGGCTCCTTTTCTCTTTGTCCATTTGGTCCTGAAAGGGGGCCCTATCAAGAGATTGCCTCTGGAGACCCCGATGGCCACCTTTCGGGGTCCCAGGTGGAGTGGGTGCCCGCAGCGCTGGTAATGGGAGGGGAAGGGATATCACTTGTCCACCTCCGAGCTCATTCAAGTCTACAGAGATTTCTAAAACGGCTAATCCGGATTTAAGCTGGGTACATACCGCCCCCCCCTCCAATGGGGAACTCTTCAATGGGGCTCAGTGAACCCCAAAAGTTGGTGCACCATTTTGTGTGTAGATGTGTTTTCCTGGGAAGCAGCCTCTCTCTCTGTCTCTGTCTCTCTGTGTGTCTCTCTGTCTCTGTCTCTCTGTCTCTGTCTCTGTCTCTCTGTCTCTGTCTCTGTCTCTGTGTCTCTGTCTCTGTGTCTCTGTCTCTCTCTGTCTCTCTGTCTCTCTGTGTCTCTGTGTCTCTGTGTCTCTGTGTCTCTGTCTCTGTCTCTGTCTCTGTCTCTGTCTCTGTCTCTCTCTCTCTCTCTCTCTCTCTCTCTCTCTCTCTCTCTCGTTTGGGGTCAGAGAAGCAGAGCTAATGAGCATGTGGTGCATCTGTTTGCTGAGCCTGGCACAGGTTTAGAATTAGCTTTCCTATTCCCAGCCCACACCCCAACCCATTCTCTGGTGTTAATTTGAGGATCAAGGGGTGTCTAAGGTATCATTTTCCCCCTGTCAGCGTAAAGGCCCTTTTAAGAGTCATTAGCTGTCTGGTTTTGAATTTTTATTCCTTTGATGTCCCCATCTAATCCTTTGAAGGGATTTGTTACACAAGACCAAAGGAGCTGGTTAATGACTTGTCCATTTGTGCTTTTAAGAGGCATTTGTTTTGTTTTGTTTTGTTTTGTTTCCCTGCTTTAAAAGAATTGTACTTTCCTGCTGGAAGTCCCCCCCCACCCCCATCCCTCCAATTTCAGCCTGGTGTTTATTTACCTGAGTTTCACCCTCAGTCACCAGCATAGAAACTCAGCATGTTCTCATAAAACACAGGAACTACCGTGATCCAATAAGAATATAAACATCACTCTTCAGTCTTAGAGGTTAAGAAACCAGTGCTATAAGGAGCTTGATGTGTTGTAACAAAAACCTGGCTTCTTTGATTCCCAAGCGGGGGAAAAAACACCATTCCTCTATAAAAGTAGCTGTCAATGCAAACAATGGACTTCGAGTATAGTTTGTTCACTTTTAAAAAGAAAACCTAGAATTAGAGCTGAGCCCTGGTTTTCCCGAGGTTAGTGAACCATACAGGCATACAGTAAAGGAATGAATTGCATGAATTAGTGCCTAATGCTTTTCCATAGGCAGAATTTAGTCTCTAATCCTTTTATCAGAAAATAAATCTGGAGGGTTTGTCTCCTTAAAATAAGTTTCTTCTTTCTAAGGTTTTTTTTTTTTTCTTTTTCTCCCTGTGGCTAGAAAACACATTTCTAAATAACTTTATAATGCTGCTTGCACCTGTCATAGTCCATGGTTCCCTTCGTTATGTCCCCAGCGAGAGAGCAGGTTTTCCTTGAGCACCAACAAGCTAATTGAGAAATAGTTTCAACACACACTCCCCCACCCTCCAGCTTAGAAATTGTGGAGAAATTATCCCAGAAATCCCCGCTGAAGGGACACTCGGATGTAATACTCAGGATAGGCTCTGGGAAAGCATCAAATATTAATTTGACAGTGAGTCACAATCAATCACTGAGTCAGATTGTCTATCATAATAATGTGACATTATCATTAATTATAGAATGATAGATAGACCCAGTATCTTATCCTGTCCTTCTCTATCACCTCTGAGGCCATTACCATCTCTTCTTTGTAACTTCTCCTGCCAGAGACTTCTTTGTGTACCTGCTCAAAGCCAATTTGGATGGCTACTATTATGCCTCCAAATACACATGGAGTCTTGCTAAATGAAATGTGTAGACAGAAAGAGAGAATTCATGTCCATAGCCATTTTGCCTGCCATACAGTTGGTGGCCCCTACTGCCTCCCTTTGAGTCCCAAGAACAGTTCATTTTCATTCCAATCAGTTTTGCACCAGCTAAGTGTAAATTCTCCTCTTTCACAGTTGGTTGGCAGCACAGCATCTGGAGAAGGCTCCATGCATGTTGTTGAAAAGCCCAAAGTAAGACCATGGGCTGTGAACAGAGAAGAAATGCAATTCTGAGTCGATGCACTTCAAAAAGGCCAAGGATGTTAGTTACCTTTCAGAATGGAGGCTGGAAAACCTGGTGTATACCCTGTAGAAACAGAGACTTCGATGAATTCTTAACACTGTCTAGTCTTAGCTTGGTGAAGTGGTGCTTGCCTTTAATCTCAGCAACTCGGGAAGCTAGGCAGGAAGATTGAAGTTTCTAGGCCAGCCTGGGCAATTAACTGAGACCCTGTCTCAAAATAAAAATAAAATAAAAAATTTAAAACATCAGGATGTTACTGAGTGGTAGCATGTTCTAGATCCTCGGTTCAATCCCAGCACAGTAAACAAACTTAGGTCTTTATTTCCCCCACAGAAACTGGCTTGGGCTTTACATTTCCTTGTTCTAAAAGAAAATAATCTTATATTCTATCCATAAACAGTAGGATTTTGTGTTAGTATTCCTAGGGCATACTTTTATACTTTCCTGGATGGAGTTACCTGTATTTGTCAGCATGTACTATAAACACAGATCCTCAGAGTCTCACTGTTCCTAACTACAGTGGGATGGAGCTTTGTGGGCACTGGCCAATTAGGACACAAGGATCCCTGCTAAGAGTGCCAGCTAGAATCAGCAAGCACAGATTTACAGCTCCACGGGACGCAAGAGGAAACTCTGTTTGGGAATTTCATAGTTGAAAGAAGGTCCATCTTTTTTTTTTGTTTTTGTGGGTCATGGGGCTTGAACTCTGGGGCTTGAACTCCCTCAGCTCTTCAGCTCAAGGCAAGTGCTCTACTGCTTGAGCCACAGCACCACTTCTGGTTTTCTAGTGGTTTATTGGAGATAAGAGTCTCATGGACTTTCCTGCCTGGGCTGGCTTTGAACTGTGATCCTCAGATCTCAGCCTCCTGAGTAGCTAGGATTATAGGTGTGAGCCACCTGTGCCTGGATGAGGAAGGTCCATCTTAAACAAATATAAAATAAGGTCTATCTTAAACAAATATAATAGATTTTTTTAAACCCAGATTTATATTTGCATATATTCTAGAGAACACGTTACAAATGAACAAGAACTAAATTTTTTCTTGTCTCCTATTTAATGCTGGAGTTGTTCTGCCTTTTTCTTTGGGCAGAGTGATTTCCCTTAAAATGGAAAGCAAAAGTACTCAGGGTCCAGTAAGGTTCAGTGGACCGGAGGTGGACAGTAGATAGTGCACGACTTCTTAGTGAAACTACACATATTTCAATTTCACAGCAAACTGACTGCCTGGATAGAGTCCTCAGCCTCAGTTTCCTTGCTTTCCACTTTCTTTAAGATGATTGTTTTTTAACCCTTCCTCACTGACTTTCCTAAATTAACTTCATTTGAATCAGTTTGCTGTTGTAAAAATTCTCCTGTGAAGGAAAGTCTAACTAATGTCCTTTATCATTTTGACCAGGCCACCATTTCTAGCTTTTTGCTGATTCATTGGAGATTATAGTCTTATGAAACCTTTTCTGCTCAGTCTGGCTTTGACCACAATCCTCAAATCTCATCTCCTGAATATCTAGAATTACAAGTGTAAGCTACCAGGCCTGACTTTCACCTCTGCTTTTATATGTTAAAATGGGCTTAACATAAACAGGCACATGAATTCAATGGGTAATTTGTAGATTTTCAGCAATCTAAGTCAGCAGATGCTCAGACTGTGGCAGTCCTTTGGTCCCAAATGTCCCCTTCGGCATTGTTCCCAAAGCAATCTCATGGATCTTGGGTTTGGGAGGTGGAAAAGGAAGACTGGGAAGACAGAAGAGAGTAAGATCTACCACAGTGCTGGTGGCTGGGGTAACTCTTTTTTTTTGGGGGGGGGTCCGGTCGTGGGGCCTGAACTTTGGGCCTGGGCACTGTCCCTCAGCTCTTCAGCTCAAGGCTAGCACTCTACCACTTGAGCCACAGCACCACTTCCGGCTTTTTTTCTTTTTGCTTATGTGGTGCTGAGGAATCGAACCCAGGGCCTCCTGCATGCAAGGCAAGCGCTCTACCACTGAGCCAACTTCCCAGCCCCCTGGGGTAACTCTTGGTACCCCGTGTTTACCTCCAGGATTCAGGTGGAAAGTCTAGCTCTCTCTAGTTTTAACACTAGGCTGTCTGCATCTTTGCCATCTGGACTGAGGGTTGTGCAATCCCATTCCTTCTCTCCATGTTGGCAGCGGGCAATGGCTGGAGGCTCCCTGCTTGTCCCAAAGTGGTTCCTGCACCTGGGTGCTCACCTCTCTGTAGTGAGCCTATCCCTAACTCTTGGCCTCCTCCCCAGGGAGCCAGTAGATGAGGTGCTGCAGATCCCCCCGTCTCTGCTGACATGTGGAGGCTGCCAGCAGAACATCGGGGACCGCTACTTCCTGAAGGCCATCGACCAGTACTGGCATGAGGACTGCCTCAGCTGCGACCTCTGTGGATGTCGCCTGGGCGAGGTGGGACGGCGCCTCTACTACAAACTGGGCCGAAAGCTGTGCCGCAGAGACTACCTCAGGTGCCTTCCTTGTCTCTCCTGGGGCACGTCTGGGTGGGGGTATGTGGGGCACATGCCCAAGGAGGAGGCTGTGCCTCTTTCTCTGCTTAGACCATGTTTCAGAGACTCCCTCCTCATGGGTGGGAACAGACTGATAATGTGTTTCAAGGCAAGAGAAGGAGAAACGGGAATTCAGACTAGGGATGCAATTCTGGGGTCAGACTCAAGGATAGGATTGGGGAGGGGTACACAAGGGATATCATAGGATCATGGGAACTGGTGAGTTTTTAATTGATAAGCTTGGGGTGGGGTGGGCTCCTTTTTGTTTGTTGTGCTAAACTGGGGCTTGAACTCAGGGCTGTGTACTCTTGCTTGGTCTTTCCCCTGGAGGCTGGCACTCAACCACTTGAGTCACAGCTCCACATCGGGCTTTAGGGTGACTAACTGGAGATAAGAATCTTTCAGATTTGTCTACCAAGTGGGCTTTGAACTCTGATCCTTAGATCAAAAACCTCTTCACTAACTAGGATTACAGGGAGGAGCCACCAGCGCCTGGCTGGGGGTGGATTCTTCAGAGCTCATTTGAATGTGTCAGCACACACACACACACACACACACACACACACACACACACACACACATTTCTTTTATATGACCGCAATACTATGTGATGAGAAATTTAAAGATAGAAAATGTTATTCATGAACTGATTTGTTGAATGGTAACTCCTGTGTACAATTACTTAAAGATAATAAAATTATAATTTAATAAAAAAAGCAAGCAAGCAAGCATGTTCTCAGCATGGAGCATTGACTCTCACAGTAGGAAGGCAATATTCTCTAGCTACCAAGGAATACTGAAGTCAGAGGAGCTTTCAGTCACAGCCTCATTGCTTCCTAGCTCTGTGACCTGGACCAAGGTACTTAACCTCACTCTTCTCATCTGTGAAATGGGGGTAATGCCAGTACCTCTTCCAAGAAGTGGAAAGGATTCAATGATTTACCACATGTAAAGTTCTTGGATTAGGCCAGTTGTCCATGGCTCATGCCTGTAATCTTAGCTATTCAGGAGGCTGAGATCTGAAGATCACAATTCAAAGCCAGCCCAGGCAAGAAAGTCTGTGATCTCCAATTAATTACCAAAAGCCATAAATGATGCTGTGGCTCAAAGTGGTAGAGCACTAGCCTTGAGCACAAAAGCTCAGGACAGCTCTCAGGTCTAGGATTGGCACGTGCATGTGCACGAGAGCATACACACACAGACACAGACAGACAGACAGACAGACACACACACACACACACATACACACACAAAGTACTTGGCTTGGCACATGAGTATCAGAGATATTGGTTGACTTTATAACCTACTATCATGACAGTATTCTGATTTAAAAAAAATTCTAGTTGTGTGTGTGTGTGTGTGTGTGTGTGTGTGTGTGTGTGTATTAGGGCTTGAACTCAAGGCCTGGACTCTGACCCTTAGCTGTTTCACTCAAGATTGGTACTTTACCCCTTGAGCCACAGCTTCACTTCCAGCTTTTTGGTGGTTTATTGGAGATAAAGAGATAAAGAGTCCTGCCCAGACTGGCTTCAAACTGCAGTCACAGATCTCAGCCTCCAGAGTAGCTAGGATTTCAAGCATGAGCCACTAGCACCTGGCTATTTTCCAAAGTTACAGATGAGGAGATGGAAAAATTCAAGGATAAAATAGGAAGTCAGTAATGCCAGTGAGACAGAAGCTGAGGATAGTGCTCCTGCCCTGGGTAAACTCTTGGCCATGTGAAGGATCTGGCACTCAATGAGTGCCTTTGCCTTGAGTGTTCTAGTATCTCTAGTTTCATATAACCTGCTGTAGATGCAACTTTGTGCCCTCAACTGTCAGATCTGCTCAACGGTGTAGCTTTCAGCTCTAAGCCATCTTCCCATGGCAGAGGCCCCGCAGAGCGTGCAATCCTGATACCTCAGGGCCACTCAGCCCACAGATACTTGTTTAGATTTTGGTTTTCTTGGCCACTCGACACCTCTTCCCCCTAAATCTGCTGTCAGAGCATTATACATGGAAATAATAACAAAGCTGCAGGTAATTCTCTAGGGAAAGAAGCATGTCAGCTTTGGGTCCAAAGAATTAGCTTTGCTTCCCTTCTAAATTTCCTGATAAAGTCCTTGCAAATTGCGTGGTTTTAAAAAAGAGAAGAGTTTTTCAGTGATCATAATTTTGTTGAATTTCCTTTTTCTCCTTTCTTTTTAACTCACAAGGAAATAGAACTGGGATAAATAGAGACCTGGTTTTGCTCGCTCCCAGCCTGCCAAATCAGTCAGAAAGCAGACGGGTAAATGATCCCCACTGGGCCCCTCACTATATCCCTCTCCAATCATTTGAATCTTATTAAATGAAGTCAGATAGAGTAAGGTCGAAAGAGCTGAGCTTCTCTCTCTCTCTCTATGGTTTTATATAACGTTCAAGAATAGAACCAGTGCTGCTTGGGCTTGTTAATCTTTTTTCTATTTTCAAAAAGGAGAGGAAAAAAAAAATAGTCTGGGAGAACCCAATGTTAATTAACTTGTGTCTTGGTGACATGAAATAATTCTTCTCTCCTTGCTACATTCCCAGGCAACATGTTAATTAACTCTGTGTTACCGCAGTCATTCGCAGACCTCCTTTAATATTTATATTATTGTTATTAAATTGGGCAGCAGAAAGCTTATGACATGACACCTCTTGACAAATGAGAAACATGCTTGTTTGCTCTAGAGATGGTCCTTTAGCTGTGGACTTGTTTACTTCCATTCTTGGCCTATCTGGTGGTATATTTTAACAAAGCAAGCTAAAGGAGTTACTCTGTGGGTTCTCTGATGGGGCTGGGGTCCAATCTGTCTTCTAGTATAAAATCTCCCCTTAACGGTTTCTAAAAACTGACTCACCCAGTGCAATTTAGCAGAAGGACCCCCACCCCCCCACACACACACACAGAACCTGCACCTGCTGCTGTTATATTGTTGGGAGTCTCACAACAGCTATTTATGAGTGTTCAGTCTAGATCTCCTGGATCCAGTTTATACCAGTTTCCTGCCTGTGATTCCACTTTCAACAGCCAGGCCCAACCTAGACCCTGCTGTCAGAGACACACAGTGCAGGACTCCTCAAGCTCTGCAGTCTTCCTTGGAGGCAGGGTGACTTGGAAATGTAACATAACACTCCTGAGCATGAAGCCCAGGCTCTCTCTGAGGCATGCTCCCAGTACTCTCCCCCCCTACACACTTTCCCTGGAGAACATCCTTAATCCATCACTCAGGAGGCTGAGATCTGAGGATCACAGTTCAAAGTCAGCCCAACAGGAAAGACCATGAGAATCTTATCTCCAATTAAAAAGCTGGAAGTGGAATTGTGGTAATGTGCTGATCTTGAGCAAAAGGAGCTCAGGGACAGTGCGTAGGCCCTGAGTTCAAGCTCCAGGAGTGGCACTCCACACACACACACACACACACACACACACATCACATCACATCACATCACATGTACATAAATCATTGCCTCAGGAGCTGTTTCTGGGATACCCAGCCCAAAACACTGATTCTTGGTGCCAGAGGTTAATGCTCAAGTCAAGTGTCAGATTCTGTTTTTTGTTTGTTTGTTTGTTTTGTTTTTTTTACTATCACTAGAATCTGTGGGTATTTGACTTGGGAGGGACTTCTGCAGACTTCTCTTCCAGTTCCCTTATTTCACAGGACAGGACACAGAAGGCTGGAGAAGGGACTGTCATTTGCTCACCTGGCTAGTTAGAGGTGAGGTTGGAACTTGAGCTTGTCTCCCAAACAATAGCCCTCTGCCCTCACTTTCATTAGTAGCTTGTCATTGGCTCCCTGACTCTCCTTCCTAAAGAATCTCACACACCAGGCTGTTGGACTTAATTCCTTCCCAATGTTTTGTGAACCGTGCATCTTTGCTCACTCCCAAACTTAACTTACTGCATAGTCAGGACACCGGAACTCTCTTTCTACTGAGTGACCTCCAATGTTGCGGTTACCTGCCGCTTCACCATCTGCTACAGTGGGATAAAATGTTCTCCACTAATGAGTGTGTACCCAAGCAGCGCTCTGAAAACACCCGGAGATCTTCCAATGAAAAGCAGGATTCCCAGGGAAATGAGCCAGCCCTGGCACACCAGATCATCTTTTCTTGAGACCATACATCTGCTCCAGTGTTGCAAGAGCTGGCAGCTGCTCTTAGCTCCCCTACCACCCCTCAGAAAGCACAAATGATTCTCTGATTTTCTGAAGTAAGAATTTCCTAAACAATCAGTGTTGGCCTGAAATAGTCCTAGGGTAGTTTTCACAAGAAAACCGCTGCTAACGTGGCTATGGGATCACCCCAGGTGAAAATGATCCTGCAGCTCTCCCAGTAGGAGCCAGGCTCCAGTGGCAAATGTCTGTAATCCTAGCTACACAGGAGGCTGAGATCTGAGGATCATGGTTGGAAGCCAGCTCTGGCAGGAAAGTCTGTGAGACTCTTCTCTGCCAGAAAGCCAGGAGTAGAGTCATGGCTCAAGAGGTAGAGTATCAACCTGGAGTACTAAAGCTATGGGATGGTACCCAGACCCTGAGTTTAGCCCCCAGTACCTGCATACATGTACACAAACTGTAGCACAGTTGTGGCTCTGTTCAGACTTAACTGGCTTTGGCTTCCCCCTTGACCTGGAGTGATCTGACACACCCTGTGTGATGCTGCTAACAGCCCAACAAGAGAGCTACTAATACTGCTCTTTTGCTCTGAGAAGTCACCATTACTCAGCTGCTTCAGCATGGTCTGGACCTGGGAGCTGCAGTGTCTGGTTCCAGTACTTGTGTGATTCCACTCTTTGGGGCTCATTCTTCAGGTCTAGTCTGGGTCAGAGTTATTCATGCACAGACTACCGGGCCTTCTTCCCAGTGTTTCCCATCACTGAACCCACCCCAACCACGTCCCACCCTGACACTGAATATTATCCATTTGAAATGTTCATAAGTCACCGAGGCAAAGGAGAGGGGTTTCCTCAGCAATTCAGCAGGGGGCTAGCGAAGGAGCATGAAGGGTTGCTGGGGGAGAGATGCTGTGTGTCCCACTGGGTCTCAGAGGCAAGAGGAACTGCACTGTGCATCTCCCCTGGCACTCCCAGTCTCCCAGCAGCTGTAGCCCTAGGGAATGATCACGTGGAGATGGGACTCTCAGCTTGGAGGAGAATTCAAGGAATTAGTGGCTGTTGACTTGGAAGAGATGCGTTTCTAATCTGCTTTCCCCTCTCTGGGTCCCCTAGGAATCCGACTCCAGCTCCTTAGGTACAACGGAAGTTCCCCTGGGAGGCAGTGGGCCTAGCCTTTATCACAAGTCACCTCAGCTCAGTGTTGTGTACACTCACCCAGAGGAACCTAGAGAGTGATTGCTAAAAGCAAGGAGAAGCTCAGGATAGGGAGGAATATCACCAAACAAAATGGCCAATGCCAGGCAGCCTGCCCTTTACCGCCTAGGAAAGATTCACGTTGGGTGCTGATGTCTCTCATTTGTCATCCTAGCTATTCAGGAGACTGAGATCTGAGAATTGTGGTTCAAAGCCAACCCAGGCAGAAAACTCCATGAGACTTTTATCTCCAGTTAGCCACCAAAAAGCTGGAAGTTTGGAGGTATGGCTCAAGTGGTAGAGTGCCAACATTGAGTGAAAAATCCAAGCAAGAGTATGAGGCCCAGAGTTCAAGTTCCAGTACTGTATCAGCTCAAGAGAGAAGTGGGGGGGAGAGTCATTGGCTGTCATCCGGGCCCAGTTTTTCCTACTTTGCTTAACTTCCATAGAAGCCTTCACTGGGTCTTTTCTTTCAATATTGTGCCTGCCTCAGTAACTGAGCTTTTTTCTTTTTTTCTTTCCTTCCTTCCTTCCTTCCTTTCTTCCTTCCTTCTTTCCTTCCTTCTTTTCTTCCTTCCTTTCTTCCGTCTTTCCTTCCTTCCTTTCTTTCTTTCCTTCTCTTTTTCTTTCCTTCCTTCTTTCTTTCTCTCTTTCTTTCTTTCCTTCTTTCCTTTCTTTCTTTCCTTCTCTTTTTCTTTCCTTCCTTCTTTCTTTCTCCCTTTCTTTCCTTCCTTCTTTCTCTCTATCTTTCTTTCTTTCCTTCTTGCCTCAGGCTGTTTGGCCAAGATGGTCTCTGTGCTTCCTGTGACAAGCGGATCCGTGCCTACGAGATGACCATGCGGGTGAAAGACAAAGTGTATCACCTGGAGTGCTTCAAATGCGCCGCCTGTCAGAAGCATTTCTGTGTTGGTGACAGATACCTCCTCATCAACTCCGACATCGTGTGTGAACAGGACATCTACGAGTGGACTAAGATCAATGGGATGATCTAGGCCAGAGTCCCTAGGCATCTTTGCAGGGAGTGTCCCCTGAAGGCACTGTCTCCATGGGGTCTTCATGCTTAGGCACTTTTGGAGACTCAAGGGTGGGGTATTTCTTAAGGGACAGTGGACCTGTATTGGGCACTAAGACATAGCAATTGAGTGACGCCTGTAAGGACCATCACTCATGTGTGGCAAATGAACCAACCCTTAGAGAAATTGTGGCTACAGTCTATTGGTAGGAACTGACATGATTAGTGGGAGAAAGGAATATTTGAGGGCCAGCTGGCACCGTGCCACCATGATGGAATTTCCCATCTACATATGGGAGCTCTTTGCAAAGACTTGGTAGTCATTGATGTGTACAAGCTAGAGATGTACAATTGATTTCTTTTCTTCCCAGCATCTGTAAACAGCCCTGTCCAATCACTATGCTCCACACAGGGAAGGAAGGGCAGGGGAGAATGGCCATCTTCCTGTCCCTGGTCACCTTCCCAAGGCCTTGCGCTTTGGATCTAATGGAAACTGCATGGAGACCCATTTCAGTTGGGAATGGAAAGCACATCTTTTAACCAAACAAATGTTTAAAACAAGTCTGATGAATCACTGTTTTTAGACACCTTCATTTTGAGGTGAGGCGTTCCACAGATTGTTTCTATACAGATGTAAATCTAAAATAAAGACCCTCGAAATTGTTCAACTATTTTATTATCTTAGAATTATATCAAAGTATTTGTTGTGTGTAGTTAAAAAAAAAAAGACCGAAGACTTAATAAAAAGGACTGACTGAAACGTGTGGCATTGTTTATTCAATAATGATTTCCCTTTTGGAACCACAGGGAAATGGTTTTGTTTTTTCTGTTGGTAAGGTGAAGTTACTAAACAATTTAATTGTAGGTCAAATAAAAACTTTCATTTGTTGCAAAGGTTTTTATGAGATTTATTCAGGTTTCTATACACCTGGCAATTATATAACAGGTCATCATGTAGCTCAGAGGGGTGTAGAATAATTAAATTGTTATTGTAAAATGTGCATTCACTTTGGCATTGTGTGGAATGAATGGAAGACAGCAAGATCATTGCCTTTGGGAAACTTGTAACCCAGAAAGCACACAGATACATAAAACAGATTCCCTTTGGGAGAGAAGGTAATTACCTAGTTTGAAATGTGGCAAAGCTGCTGAGCTTGACACTTCGATTTTCCAAGACGTGTGTCTCAGGGTATTTTATGACAAGTGGTTAAGAGACCTTCCTTTGAGGATTTAAAGCAGGCACCTTGGCTTGTGTCCGCCTTCATGCTATCCAGGCATGAACTGGCTCAGAGCGCCACCTGCTGGTGATCACCTCTCAGCCAGTTAGCCCAAGAACGCCCAAGGGAATCAACCTAGAGGTTATATTTTCAATTATTTCATAAAACTATTAGAAAACACCAAATCTAAATGTGTTTAATTATAAAGATAATCCATCAAGGATACTGCTCATTAACTGTGATTTCTTTTACATGTTTTTTAAGAGGAGAAATAATGAAGTGATGTCTCTCCTGGCTGGTAAAATGCTGAAAGTAGTTGGGAAATTTGACTGCTTCTGGTGGCTTCTTTAAAAATGAATCTAATTATATTGCACCCAAGCTCAGATGGTGGTGGCAAGCGGCAGCTGGGGACCAGATGTTGCTCTAACTCAGCGGTTCTCAAACTGCAGCTCCTGAACCAGCAGGGACAGCGTCATCTGGAAAGTTGCTGAAAACACAGGTGCAGGAGTCCCACCTCCCACACCTGAATCAGAAACCCTGGGGAGGGTGCTAAGCAATCTTCATTTTAATAAAGCTGAGGATGGTTATGACTTATACTCGGGGGCTTGAACTCAGGTCTCATACTGTCAAGTGTGTGTGAGTGTGTGTGTGTGTGTGTGCGCTGGCATGGGGGCTTAAACCCAGGGCCATGGTGCTGTCCCTTTTGAGCTTTTTCACTCAAGGCTGTCACTCTACCACTTAAGCCATAGCTCCACTTCTGAATTTTTGATGGTTAGTGGAAGATAAGAGTCTCATGAATTTTCCTGCTGGAGCTAACTCAAGCCAAGATTCTTAGATCTCAGCTTTCTGTATAGGTAGGATTTATTAAGTGTAAACCTTTGGCACCCAGCTGAACATTTTATTATGTTTCTTAAAGCAAGAAGGGTAGGCTGGGAAGGGGGCTCAGTGGTAGAGCGCTTGCCTTGCATGCATGAGGGCCAAAGTTCGATTCCTCAGCACCATATAAGCAAAAAGAAAAAAGCCAGAAGTGGCACTGTGGCTCAAGCGGTAGAGTGTTAGGATTGAGCTGAAGAGCTGAGGGACAGCACCTAGGCCCAGAGTTCAGGCCCCACGACCAGACCCAAAAGAAAAAGAAGGGTAGATTATAAATGTTATAAATGTTGCAGATGAAAGAAGGATCAGGAGATTTGATAACTGCTTCCTATTCTGTATCCAGTACACTTTGGTTTTAAAAATGCTACAAAAGATATCACTGAGCAAATTAGAATCTAAGTCGGTATATAAATTATGGAACTGTTTAACTTATACAAGGAAATTACATAAATGTTAAATTTAAGGCAAGTTGATTTTTCTACCATGGGTACACAAGACAGTGTTCCTGTTGTTAGAAAATACATGGAAATATTTAGGAATAAAGGACCACAATGTATTAACTTATTCTCTAAAGGTCGAGAAAGTGTGTGTGTGTGTGTGTGTGTGTGTGTGTGTGTGTGTGTGTGTGTGTGTACACTGGTTCTAGGGCTTGAACTCAGGGCCTGGGCACTGTCTCTCAGCTTTTTCTCTCAAAGCTGTGATGTGCCACTTCAGCTACAACTCCACTACCAGCTTTTGGCTGGTTAATTGGAGATAAGAATTTCATGGACATTTCTGTCCATGGTTTGCTTCAGACCTTGATCCTCAGATCTCAGCTTCCTGAATAGCTAGGATTACAGGTGTGAGTTGCAAGCTCCCAGCGGTATGTATGTTTGAAAGAAGATAGAAAAGGAGATGGGGTAAAATGTGGACAAAAGTTAAATTTTGGTAAAGGATATATAAAGTACTATTTTTATTCTCGCAGCTTTTCTGGATGTTTGGAAACACTCCCAAATAAAACTTTTGTTTTTTAACTCAGGAATCTTGGCATTTTCTTGATTGAACTTTGGATTCAATTAGAAGAACATGGGTGATTAAAAAAAAAAAAAAGGCAAACACATTCTAGAATTCATTGTTATTCCATTGGCCATTTGTCTCAACTTGAAAGTACTGTTCATCTTACGGATAATCCATTTCAAGCACTTTCCCCTATGTGTGCATGCGTGTACACACACACACACACACACACACACACACACACACAGAGCATGGATAATGTGTTTAGGATTCATTTAGTACCAATTTCTGAAGCAGGTTATTTCTCAACTATATAAAATGAATTTACTAAAACTTTCACATTTCCTTTGTAATTAAGATCGAGATTTAATGATCTGGCTTTGAAATGCGTGTACTGCCGAGGCAGGACTCTAAGCTATCACATTTGCATGTACATCTAAGAACTGAGTTAAAAGAAGTTTCAAAGCACTAAAGTCAGTTTCACTCTCTATCAGTGGCCATGTATTAATTTTCCCAGAAAACCATCATTTCTCTGAGTTAATAGAATCTTTGAAGCTAAATAAGTCAATTTCCATTGTCACATTGTGATGCTTTTGAACTTGGCTTACTCAACTATTTTATTTGATGGTTACCCTGAAGATGGCTTTGTGGTGATCTTAAGAGAACCAATAGCTGCCACATCTGACTTAGTTTCCCACCCCGCATATTTATTCTAATCACTTAATTCTACTCATTAAGTAATGAGGCTAATGTGGCAAATGTGCCCCTTTTGTTAGTGGTTAAGACAGGTAATAAAGGCATTATGATATAATACTGAAATCAAGAATCCTGATTTTCCAACAAATTAAGAGTATATCTTTCACCAGACCTCAGTTTGCAAAATGAACAATTTAGTTTCTCTATGGGAATTTGATATGCAGAATTTGGCTTACAGATCGGTAAGTACAGAAATTAAGAGTAAGCATTTGTGGCTCATGGCTATAATCCTAGTTACTCAGGGTGCCGAGATCAAAGAATCAAGATTTGAAGTCAGCCTAGGCCGACAAATCCACGGGATTCTTACCTCCAGTTAATCAGCAAAGAGTCAGAGCTGAAGGTATGGCTCAAGTTGTAGAGTGCTAGCTTTGAGCAAAAAGCTGAGAGAGAGTGAAAGAGGTTGGCCATGATTTCAAGCCCCAATACACACACACACACACACACACACACACACAAATGAGTGAGCATTTGTGATAACTAGGTCTGTAAAATGTCTCCATTGATTTTTGACTCCTGGCTTCAAGCCCACATCAAATAGGATTAACATCTAACCAAGAGATTTGCAGAATTGATTAAGTATAATTTCTGAAGCTAGAACATAAAAGACCCTGTAAATTCTACTTGCTGTCTCTCAATCCTTCATTCTGGAGAAAACTTGCCATGTGGTGAAGGCATTCAGATAGCTATATGGGTGAAGCACTTTCAAGGCTGGCCAATAGCCACTATCTAATTGCTAATTATGCAAATGAAAGCAGAGACTCTCTACCCCCAGTCAAACCTTCAGATAACTTCAGTCTCATAGCCTGTCTTGAATCTCACCTTAAAAGACATTTCCAGAACCAGACTAAACTGCTCTTGAATTTAAAACCCCAGAGATTATGCAAAATAGATCATTGTTGTTTGAAGCCATTAAGTTTTGTGGGTAAGTTATTATACAACAAGCTATCATTAAAAGACATTAGAAACTTTATGGCAATTTGAAGGAGTAATTTTAAGCCTGTGGAATCTAATGGTAACAATTTTGGGCTTTTATTTTGTATGCTTTTTCTAAATTATATGGTCCTTAGTCATCTAATTTGTATTATATTATATAGAAGTATGAGAACATGGTGGATTAAACAATTTAAACACAGAGAGTTTGAAAAACCCTGCAATTTTAGTAGAAAATTAAAGAGGAAATTACCCAGCATAACTTCTCTCTCAGTGAAAAACCATATCTCAAAGGTTTCCAGAATAAATTTGTGATTCATAGCAGCATTATATTGAGTTTTCACCAGTCAAATGAACTATTCTAAGTATTTAATGATCTTTACAACTTGAGGCTGCAGATACTTCTATCCTCTGTGTGTGTGTGTGTGTGTGTGTGTGTGTGTGTGTGTGTGTGTGTGTGTGTGTGTGTGTGTGTGTGTGTGTGTGTGTGTGTGTGTGTGTGTGTGCCTGTGCTAGGGCTTAACTCAGGCACTGTCCTTTAGCTTTTAATTTAAGGCTAGCACTTTATCACTTGAGTCCTAGCTCTACTTTCTTTCTTTCTTTTGGTGGTTAATTGTAGATAAGAGACTCATGGACATTCTTGCCCATGCTAGCTTTGAATCACAGTCCTAAAGTCTCAGCCTCCTGAGTAGCAAGTTTTACAGGGGTGAGCCATTGGCACCTGGCCCACTATTCCAATTTTATAGCAGCAAGGATTTAAGTAATCCAAGTCATCTGACTTCATTCACTTATATGCAGTAATTTTTATTTTACATAACAAAACAATACATGTTTTCTCAGTTGGAAATTACTTTTCTATTTATGTTAAGAAGAAAGAGACATAATTCTAAATCTAATATAACCTGTTTTGTTTGTTTGATTTTTGTTTTAAAGAGGCAGGGCA